CGCAATTTAATATGTTTTTAATGGCATATGATAGTTTGGAAATGGCAGAAGACGAATTTACACATTCAAAATGAACAATGTTAATAGAAACCTTAAATTGTTTTTTTTTTTAATGATTTCTAACGACAATCCTCACGCTCAGGTTTGCGTTAAAATAAGTAACTAAGTAGTATAAAAGCATAAATACAAACAATTGAGATTCATATACAAATGAGATCCCTACATATTTAAAACATCCATCCTGAAATTTTGGTTTATTAACATGGGTTAGAGAAAGAGAGATGGATGAGTTAAATTTTTGCCATTTGACTACTTAGGTAGCATATTTTATAAAATTTTAATATTGATTACTTATATGCTTAAGGTAATTATTTATTAGGAGTACGAGGTAGCAGAGATCACAAGGGAAGGATACATTAAAAAATAACTGGATTTCAAAAAAATCCGACGAGAATATATTTTATGGCAGGAAACGATCAAAGAGAATATAAAGGGATAAAAATTTCGTTACTTTCAGACCATAGATTNATTAATAATATATTTATCTGCAACTTAGTCGACTAGTTTACATAATTCTGTGTAGGTAGAACTAATATTTTCATAAAATTTTGCAAAGGTTTTATCCATAAGAAGCAAACCACACTTGTTTTTTAGTCTTTTATTAATTTGTTTTTATTTCAACTAGTCGCTAATGAGCAGTCAGTTAGTCATACGTTAAAAAAATATGTTATGAGTTAATTCATGAAACGTGTGCCAATCCCAATCGGAAAAAAAGGTACATTGAGAGTTTGTCGAGTGAAACGTTCTTTGATAATGAACAAAGCGAATCGTTTTAAGGTTAAATTCGGCAACAAAGAAAGGTATCGCGATTGTTTTTATTTCCTGGTAACTTGCCAAAGTGCCGGCCGAAATAGATATACCGGTTAATGGACCAGTTGGCGCAACGTTCCTATAACAAATACGAAAATACCTGGGATTACCCATTCCTCTCTTTGAAACAAGGGGTTTATGGCACATGTTTATAATTAGCCTTGTCAAAGCCGATGGCAGCTTTTTCTACGAAAATTAAATTCGAATGTATATGTATGGATTGTCATTTTATAATCCTTGCATTACGACAAGCTTTTCATTGTTTCAATATTACATTATTTTGCGTAGGAATACCTTTTTCTTTTTGAGTAGGGTGAAGTTAGTGCAGGAAACTTACTGAAAAGTGCAACGTCACGTCACGCGTTACGTCACGCGCCAGGTGTGACCTCTGTTTGGTATGTCCAAAAGGAGTCATTTCAACAGGCTTCAGAAGCTAACCAATTAGTAGCAACCGATAATCTGGAAATCGTCATTTCGACAAATTGTCATCAGTTCGCGCCTACGCTGTATTGTATATGTATTGCATATGGTTTTGTGTTTGTTTCTTTTTATTTGTAATTCCTCTCTGCAGTTTTGTATGGTGCAAGGGTGTTCAGCAGCCTCAGGATGTTTTAAAAAAATACTTTTTTTTACTAACGGTCAATATGTTTTAAACAGAGCCGGACTGAAGATTTTGGCCAGGGGTGCGATGTAACCAAATGGCCTGGTTTAGATGGGAAAGTGCACAAATTTTAACAGCACTCGTTTTTTCATTTATTCATTTTCATTTTTCNTCGTATTTACTCTAAGAAAATGTAAATACTTTTTGATTAATTGATTGTATGTTATAAGGATGTAGCACTCCTAAAATACAGTTAAAAGGAACAATTAAATTAATGAAGAAATTTTGGAAAAAATTATGAACATCTTCTTCTGTATTGCTTGGTGCTTGCGTTCCTCTTCATAGTTTTCTGTTTTCTTCCTTCTTCATGAACTAAATTCTTTTTATAACATATGTACATTGAAAAATACTAATGTTTAGTAGTAATAAAAACTTACATAAGCATTTGATAATTTTAGTGGATAAACTTTTATATTGACTAGCATTATGAACTTCTTTATCTTCCGTTTCCCAATTACTATGCCTCCTTATCATCATAAACAATTCCAAACAAACCGTAAACCTGCAGAACAATGACTAAGTTACAAAAAAGAAATAAATTTATCTAAAGCTGTATATAATATGTACATATACATGAAATATTTCTTCCCAGGATTGTATTTTCTTAGTTTTCTTTCTTCATAAACTTTTTCTTCCTTTAAAGGGTGTTGATGACAATAATGGCCCAATTTCTTTTTTAACATATCAAAATGGCAAAATCATTTTTAATTTATATAACTTTATATTACTAGAGAATTTTTTTATGAAGTTTACAATTTTAGAACAACAAAAAAGTTTTAGCATAAAATTAATAATATATTTATCTGCAACTTAGTCGACTAGTTTACATAATTCTGTGTAGGTAGAACTAATATTTTCATAAAATTTTGCGAAGGTTTTATCCATAAGAAGCAAACCACACTTGTTTTTTAGTCTTTTATTAATTTGTTTTTATTTCAACTAGTCGCTAATGAGCAGTCAGTTAGTCATACGTTAAAAAAATATGTTATGAGTTAATTCATGAAACGTGTGCCAATCCCAATCGGAAAAAAAGGTACATTGAGAGTTTGTCGAGTGAAACGTTCTTTGATAATGAACAAAGCGAATCGTTTTAAGGTTAAATTCGGCAACAAAGAAAGGTATCGCGATTGTTTTTATTTCCTGGTAACTTGCCAAAGTGCCGGCGGAAATAGATATACCGGTTAATGGACCAGTTGGCGCAACGTTCCTATAACAAATACGAAAATACCTGGGATTACCCATTCCTCTCTTTGAAACAAGGGGTTTATGGCACATGTTTATAATTAGCCTTGTCAAAGCCGATGGCAGCTTTTTCTACGAAAATTAAATTCGAATGTACGAGGGTGGATTGATAAGTTTCCGGCCTAACCAAGAGATGACGCCACTAGGCCTACCTTGAGGTGACATTCTATAGTACCATCCTTGGATAGCTTGTAGCTATAGTTTCAGCCCGATCTCCTTGCTAGTGTAGGTTTGACAGCACGCTGAACAAGACGCCTCTGTGGTTTTCGTAAAAATGGAAAAGCAGGAAAATCGTGCTGTCATCAAATACTTTTATTTGAAGGGGTTAACGCCGAAGGAAATTAAAAAAGAGATGGACTCAACACTGGGGACATCCTCCCCGTCATATTCAACCGTTAAGCAGTGGGTTTCCGAGTTTAAAAAGGGTCGTGTGAGCACCTCTGATGGGCCTCGCTCAGGACGCCCCGTTGAGGTCACAACTCCAGATATGATCGAAAAAATTCATCAAATAGTGCTGGGAGACCGCAGATTGAAAGTGCGTGAGATAGCTGAGACCTGTAAGATGTCATATGAACGTGTGCAACATATTTTGCACCAACATTTGCATATGGAAAAGCTCTGTGCAAGATGGGTGCCGCGTTTGCTAACAGTCGACCAAAAATTGATTCGAAAAAACATTTCTACCGCAAATTTGTCATTGTATAAGCGTAATCCAAGCGAATTTTTGCGTCGATTCGTAACCGTTGACGAAACGTGGGTCCACCACTACACTCCTGAAACCAAAGAACAGTCTAAACAGTGGATTGGACCAGGGGAACCAACTCCAAAGAAGGCAAAAACAATTTTTTCGGCGAACAAGGTTATGGCTACTGTTTTTTGGGATGCAAGAGGTATTATATACATTGATTACCTTGCAAAGGGTAATACTATCACTGGTCAATACTACGCAGACTTATTGCAACGTTTGAGCCACGAGGTGAAAATTAAACGACCTCATCTGGCGAAGAAAAAAATCTTGTTTCATCACGATAACGCACCAGCGCACACGTCAATCGTTGCGACGGCTAAAATCAACGATCTAAAGTTTGAATTGATGCCGCACCCTCCTTACTCTCCAGACCTAGCCCCGAGTGACTATTTTCTGTTCCCTAATCTCAAAAAATGGCTTGGCGGTAAGAGATTTGCGGACAATGAAGAAGTAATCGAAGCTGTAAATGGTTATTTTGAGGAGCTTGACGAATCAGTCTATAGAGATGGCATTAATAGACTGGAACACCGCTATGAGAAATGTATCAGCCTTGGAGGAGATTATGTTGAGAAATAAAAAAAAAAAATTTTTAAAAACCTTGTTTTTCTTGGTCAGGCCGGAAACTTATCAATCCACCCTCGTATATGTATGGATTGTCGTTTTATAATCCTTGCATTACGACAAGCTTTTCTTTGTTTCAATATTACATTATTTTACGTAGGAATACCTTTTTCTTTTTGAGTAGGGTGAAGTTAGTGCAGGAAACTTACTGAAAAGTGCAACGTCACGTCACGCGTTACGTCACGCGCCAGGTGTGACCTCTGTTTGGTATGTCCAAAAGGAGTCATTTCAACAGGCTTCAGAAGCTAACCAATTAGTAGCAACCGATAATCTGGAAATCGTCATTTTGACAAATTGTCATCAATTCGCGCCTACGCTGTATTGTATATGTATTGCATATGCTTTTGTGTTTGTTTCTTTTGATTTGTAATTCCTCTCTGCAGTTTTGTATGGTGCAAGGGTAAAGAATTACAGTGTTCAGCAGCTTCAGGATGTTTTAAAAAAATACTATTTTAACTAACAGTCAATATGTTTTAAACAGAGCCGGACTGAAGTATTGGCCAGGGGTGCGATGTAACCAAATGGCCTGGTTTAGATGGGAAAGTGCACAAATTTTAACAGCACTCGTTTTTTCATTTATTCATTTTCATTTTTCCCCATTCACGTTGAATGAACTAGTTTCTTTTGTTAGTTTCTGTGTAGGTAATATATTATGTTTGGGGGAATATCAAAGAAAACATGTCGTTATTAACAAGTCGATGTAACAAAAGTTACACAAAACCGACTTCATGTAACATTTCGATCCGAATCTTTTAAAATTCTGAACCGATTTTGATCGAAAATATTCACTATTCTATTTCAATCCCTTCGAAGAATTACATCTTGGTCGGGCAGCTAATCGGTTACCAAACCAAGCCCGACTCTTTTCCGAGTATTATTGCTGGGGGCCCGATGTGGCACCCGATTTTAATTTCTAAAAGGGGCAATAGTTCGGTTAAAAATTGCTTAATCCCATCTCTTGAATACCATGGTCATGACTTATATGTATAAATTGCTGGATCGGGCCCTGTTTAGTAAGGTATTCTTGTAATCTTGTGGTCACTCTTTTCAGCGACACTTATACTATCACGAAACGATTTCAAGACAAGGACTTAATCTGGAAGACTACAGATACAGGACACAAAAGATCTTGGTCTCGTTCTTATTCCTTTCTTATAAGTAATTTTTTTTGCTGTCAAATTATATCTAACATTAATATTATTGTATCTACAATATGTCTGAGCTTTAGTTTCAAATTAAGGGCATTGCTTTTAGGATTGGTCGTTGCATGCACATATTGCAGGTTCGCAGGTCAATCACATTATTTTTTTTTTTTTGATATCGCTTACCTCATTGTTGGAAGTCCTGATTTGTATGGGGGGCAAATTTTTTCTGGAGTGAACTCACTACGTTCTTTGCCTGCCTTTTTCTTAACTTTTTCGTATGATATTGGTAGAGACGATTTTGGTCCTGTTTTAATGGTAGTAAACAAACTGGCCAGGGATGGATGTTTCTTTGACTCCTTATAGAAAAGAAAACATTTGATCCGTTTTAATAGATTTTGAAGATTTTTCGTAGTGAAATGCATGTATCTATACAGGGTGTTTCTGAAATATGTAGCAAGTTTACAGGAGGTGACGGGGCATTACTAGATAAGAAAATTAAGTAAATTCTAACTGGACCCAAAGTACTGTCCTGGTAGGATCGCGTAGGGAAGTGGGACATTGCAACGCCACATTTAATCAGCGACTACTTAGCAGCATGCGTACTGTAGGTATTTTTTTGTATTTTTGTACTCATGTATTGTTTGTTGTTTGTTAGATTACATTAAATGTAATTCGAGACGTATGTTTACATCTAAACTACAGTAGTTCTTTGTTCTTTAAACGTTGTAGACTCGTATTACGTATGTTTGTAGATAGTCAAAGTCATAAGAAGTAGGTCAATGTGTCAGTGTTATACGTCAGTACAATATAGTGCATAGTGTTAATTGTTATCGCGTGGACGTCTAAAGATCATTGTGCGTAGATAGTAGTGTAGCAGTGATCTACTGATGCCTACTTTACAAAACACAACCGGCAGTGTTTACATTTTCCGACGATGTAGCTGCTTATTATTTTAATTTGGTTAACATCCTCTAAAAGAATAAGAAGATGAAGCAACTGTAAGGCGAAGCAGTTGATTTGAATTATACACCAAAAGACATCTACTTTTTAAAGTGTTGTGTTCTTTATTTATTAGTGATTAGCTTTTTATTCTAACGATTTCGTCAGTAATGTTAGTACAGTTAGAACAGAAAGCAGTCTAGATAACTCTCCAACACCTCCTCTTTGTATCTGTAAAGTCTCATCGAAATAGGTTGAACTTTTTCCACAATTAACCCGTACTTACGTAAACTTATGTGACGGAATAAGGAGGTAGAACGGTCAAGTCAGTCGTTATGGTCCTGTTTTGTAGGGGATAGGGGAGTCAAAAACGGATAAAATTTGCTTGTTGCAGTAAACATTTCAATTTTATTTATATGAATAGTATGTAATGCCCACAAATATCTACCGCTATTGAACAAACAAGTTCATGCTAGACGCGGATCGCGATTTCGATCTTGCTGGTTCTCATCAGCGCGTCGAACGAACCAATTCTACCTGCTACCTTGAGACAGCCTTTTATGGAAGACTTAATTCATATGAAAGTTAGTTATTAAGTTAGTATAGTTAGTCTGTATTTTGTCCAAGTTGTTTGCGACGTGCTAATGAGATCTAGCACGATCGAAATCACGATCCGCGTCTGGCAGTTTCGACAGAAGACTGACCACCATGAACTTCTTTGTTAGATTTTGGTAATCATGTCGTGGATTTAGTTCAGCATGTAAATATCAATCTACATATGCAAATAGACCTTGCTGAACATATTGCATTGTACGAGAGATGGTATTTACCGCTCCAGTTGTAGGATTTCTTACCGTTATTGATATCAGATCTAACTGAGGTGGGAGTCCTTCTGAAGATCCCAAAGATTCTGGAACGATTTCGTTAATTGATTCGGATGATCCATCTGCATCAGATCGTTCTAATTTCGTTTTAGAATAAATTGGTACTGCTTCTTGAAATGGAACGAATTCTGGAAGGTCTATCTCGGAAATATCTTGTTTTGGGCCCATCGGAGTGTACTGTGGGGCCCAGGAGTCTGGGGTTGACGAATTTGGGGGAACATCGGGAGTCCAAGCGGGATGATTGTCATAGTACGGTTGACCGTGATCGTGATGGTAAAAATATAAGTCGACGATTTTTTCTAGCGCATTACATGCACAATGTACAACAAACTTTACTGACTGGTTGTCGATATATTTGTTGTATATCTCGTTTAATGCATTTTCGATTATTTCTTCCCTAATAGACACGATTATCTGATGTTTTATTTCGTCTTCTATATAAGATTTTCTGAAATAATTTTACTATGAAATGGAAAATCGATTACGCATTACATAGATATTACAGCTTAGGATTCCCTAATTCCAACGATCCCAAACTTATACTCGATATTTGATTTTTGATACTTTTTTCTGAAATTGTGCCTTTAGAAGTGGAAGTCATATTTTTAATATATGACGTATGTCATACATTAAAATTTATTTTTACTTTTGCCAATGAACACCTAATTGATATTTATATGAAATGAAAATCAAAGACTACTAAAAAATAACGAATGATTTGTTTATATTACATCTAGAAATAGACTTCACGATCAGTTAGTTTTAAACACCCAGTACATGATTTTGAAGAAGAGCTTTTTCTTTCTGTTGTGTGGTATAAATTATGTTGGTAGACATGCAAACATGAGAGTGGTTTAATTAATTTTTGAATTTCATGTAATGTTGCAGAAAATTGATTCTGTAGTTAAAAAGCAAAATATAATAGTTGTTTAATTTGATTAAAATTTGTTATTAGAATCAGAAGTGCCTAATGTACGGAAATACTTTAGCAGGTGTTTTTCCAGAGCCAAGTAAGTTGAAATTATTTAGTTTGAAGGTTATGTTTACAAACCTTTACTACTTTTATTAAAATATTTTCTTGACAAATTTACTTTAAATATCATTATTTAAAAGAATTTGTTATTTATCATGAGAAATTCTGTCTTAGAGGCGCCACAGAAAAGGAATTTTGTTAAAGAAAATGTTAGGCAAATAAAACGAATACAAAACGTAATGCAAAGAATGTCACAAGAAGGAAAAACTCAGGCTTCAAAAGACAAATTTCAGACAGTTCCTGCCAATCAGCGACCAGTTCCAGTTAAAGCAATAAAACCTATCCAAAAAATATCGGCCAATTCTTTAGCTCAGAAAAAAACTTCAGAAAAGAACATTAAGAAAGCAAAAAAACAGAAAAATCAAAAGATCAGTACTGAGACACAATTAATTGAAGAAAGCGCACCAAGAAGTAAGGAACCATCGGGCGTTAGTTCATTTAGGAGAAATGACAAGTTTGTTACACGTGGTATACAAACAGAAAAAACAGATAATTTAGAAAAATTTTTGGAAACTGGTGTTATTAAATATGCAAGTGACAAATTATCTACCAAACCACCAAATAAAAAAGTCAGTCCTCCTACCACTAAAAGATTTGAAAGTGGTGATGCACCATTAAATTCACCAGAAGTGTGTCGCATTTTTGAAACCAACAAAAGTTTTGGCGACAGTTTAACTGATAAAATAAACTCTTTAAGTAAGTACCTAGTAGTAAATAGAGAAGTCTGGAAGGAAATATTTAATTAGCATTTTCTTCAGATTTAAATGAGAAACCTCATGACTTTATAAAAGAAAATATAATGGCTTTAAGAGATAAATCTAAAAAAAATGAAGCAAAACATGATCCCTGTCAACCCCCTGCTGGTTATCAAAAAGGCCATCTGCCCAAGTATTTGAAAGAACGCAGGGAAGAACAGAAAAAAGAAGTTGAAAAATTAGATATTGATTGTCCTGAAGGTCATGTTCTTTTGCCTGATGAAGAAAGAAGAGAAACTTTAAGGGTATTAAGGCAGAGTAAGTAACTAAAAAATCAATTTCTTGTTATTCTTACAAAATCAGTTTCACCTGCTTATTTACTTTTAAATCAGGCTATGCAGATCGAATACAAGAGTTAAATTCAATGCCTGTCAGAAATGATACTTTACGAATGAGAAGACGTAAAATGGAGATTGAGGAGGAGCTTAAAAAAATTGACGAAGGCATTAAAGTTTTCCAGAGACCAAAAGTCTACGTTAAAATAAATGCCTGATATACAAACGAACTGCTTAAGGTGCTTTTAGATCTCGTAAAAAATTGTAAATGGTAACATTTTTTCGTATTTTCTTTTTTTAACAATTTTATCAAACACAACAGCAAATTGTGTAAAATAAGTATATAATTGACAGGGATTTGTTCAAACAATAATTGTGATATATACATAACATAGAGACGTGTGTGTTTCCTACAATTGCACGTTTATTGTACAAATTTATTGTGATATAAAAATAATAATAAATTCATTGACTGTCTGAATTAGAATGTAGAATCAACAGCAAAGTAAAATAAAAACTTTCAGATTGCTTAATAACTGTAATACGACTCATGATAGATTTTTCAATTTTAACAAAGTAAAACAAACAATCTTTATTTTTCAGTAGTTATTAAGTTATTATTACAAAAAAAAAATGAATATATGATTTATGAATTATTCGAATCCGGTTTTTCCACTAAATCAACTGAAGCTTCTTTAGGATTAGTAACTGTCGAATCCACATTGTCAGATGGACGAGAACTTTCTCCAGTATTCCCTAAATTTTCACCCGAAGCTGACGCTGGAGGGGTACCACTTGATAAGTTGCTTGCTTGGGATTCATTCACATTTTCTAGGATTGTGGACGTTGCATTTGGTGCAGCTGTAGCACTTGTTACGGTGCTAGTAGTAGCGGTTTTTGATGGAATTGATCGATTATTATATCTGGGCAATCGGGGCCTAAAATAGGGTGTTACAGGCGGAATAGGAACAGAGAAAGGCCGAATCATTGGATATCGAAAACGGGGGTACGGTATGGACTGTCTCATTCCGAAAGGCGGATAAGGCATAGGACCCGGAAACCAAACATGTTGTCCCTAAATAATTAAAATTGAAAACGTGAATGAGGACAAGCACGTATGTTAAAGTAAAACATATTACTTCTATATATTCGTACTCAGGCAACATATACCCTTCCTCTTCTTCTATTAATTGACTATTCTTTAGAAATAATTCTTTCTTGTCTGATCTAGGTGGTGAATTTCTTTCTTGTGATCCCTTATACCCTCTCCCTGGTGTATATCTCTTCTCCTTGTCATCTTTGTGTGGAGAACTGCGACTTCTATACGGCGATCTTTCTCTGGGTCTTCTATAAGGTGACCTTCTTTCTGGGGTGCGCCTATAAGGTGAACGTCTGCGATAGGGTGATCTTCGGTTTGGAGATCTATATTAGATGTTAAATTATTATTTGTTTGTTATTTTTTTAATTCTCTAAACTAACCTTTCTGGGGGTCCCATATAAGGAGATCTTCGGTAACTTTTGTCATCTTTACGTCTTTCGGGAGATCTGCTGTATTTTTTTCGGGAGGAATTGGGACTTCGTGGAGGAGACCGACTATAGCGTTTTGAGGAGGGTGATCTACTGTTGTGTTTCGTGGAATGGTAAGGACTGCGACTTCGAGAAGATCGTTTTTTAGAAAAATGGGGCGAACGACTTCTTCTAGAATAATTGCTCAGGGGTGATCTTCGCCTGTAACCAAACTCACTTCGATAAAATTGTTATAACTAAAAGAATAAACTAACAAACCTGTCTCTGTTTTCTGTATGTTCCCGCCTCCTTTTATCACGTTCTGTTTCTCTGCAATTATTAAAAAAAAGTGGTAAATTCATTGTAATGCTTGTAAATTGCTCTTTTACCTATAATATCTATCACGTTCTGTATCAAGGCGTTTCGAATCTCTATCTTCAGACCTACTACCGCCATATTTCCTTTTATATTCGTCATCTGATCTCTTTCCTTCTGCATTTTTTTGCGATCTAGGAGGGGATATTCTTGTTTGTAATTTACTTGGTAGATTTTTAAAAATTCCTTCTACTTTAAAAGCCGCTTTATCTCTCGGATTGATATCAACTTGGGAATGCATACAACCTGAATCCCTAAAATATTTACCAATAAAAAAATATGTAAAATGGTTAACAAGTTTCTATACCAATAATTTTAGTTTTTGTCTAATTATGATGCTTCTAGTTACTATATAATTACCAATTTGATTCAAAANTTTGTATTGTGACTTCTTCTTCTTCTTCATTCCTGTGAATCTTCTACTGTGCAAATCCATATTGTATCATATAGACAGGAGTCATCTCACGATTTATCTTTTAATTTAATTTAATTCAAAAACTGTTATGATTATATTTTGCATAGAGTGCTACATTTTATAAACAGTTTGAGATATTAATGTATTACATGAAAAAAAAGAACAATAAATACAATAAAACGTAGTAATCGTTCCAAGTGACCCTGCAAACCTATCCTGGAGATACCGATGTAATGAGTATCAAAAAGTGTTTTGTGTAATATGCAACTATTATAACTTATTATATATAGCTATTAAAATTAAAAAGAAAAAGAACACTAATTGGAAACCGTAAGATATTTGTAGATGAAAACTTAAAAAAATGGTACCTGTACCTCGTCTGTGTAAGATTAAGTCTGCAACATTTTCTATAGCAGTTACCAGAGGCGGTGGATTTGGATTGTTTGGTATATTATGTCTCTTGATTTCTACTTTTATTAATGTTAAATCACGTCGTGTAATTTGAGCTAAAACAGCACTAGTTCGTACTTTACTTTTCGGTTTTTGCGCACCCCTTTAAATAAAAAAGAAAAGGAGTTATGATAATGAGACAATAGGACATTAAATTCAAACACCTTTTAGAACTATTTTCGGCCATAATTCCACACCTTTATTAGCATTTTATTTAAAATTCTACACTTTGAAGAATTAATGGTTATATTCACTAGTGTTTATTAATTATGTCAACTGCCAAAATTATCTATGATCATTTTTAGTTTTTGTTCGTTGCCAACTGAAACAAATGAAAATCTTGAAAATCATAAATATTTTAACCATAGTGATTTTAACCATATAATTTTAACTTATCTCTGATTTTACCCTTTGTATATCTATTATCTATGATTTTAACTATGAATTTTAACCATGATCAACCATGATTTTAACCTTAGTTTTAGTTCTTTAAGTTTATAATAAAGTTTTAAAGAAATGGGTTATTTAGAATTAACTTTGGCAATTTTAAAGCCTAACGTAGCTGTAAATCCTGTTGCCATTAAGTTTGTTAAGAATCTAATTATAACCTCTAACTTTAAAATTGTTCGTTCTAAGCGACAAAAATGTAAAATCAAGGAACTTCAACTATTTTATGAAGAACATAAAGATAAATTCTTTTATAATAGATTAATAACATTTATGAGCAGGTGGGTTCCTTTTGATAATATAACGAACGAACGAAATATGGAATATTTCATAGTGGGCCTTCTGAGCTGTTCATATTAGCCAAAGAAAATGCAATACAAGATTGGCGAAAACTTCTTGGTCCAACCAAGGTTTATAGAACCCAATTTGAGGAACCAAATTCACTAAGAGGTCTCTTTGGGCAATCTGACACTAGAAATGCATTTCATGGATCAGGTTACTAATGTTACCCTTAGCCTTTTTTGATAGGAATAACGTCATAGCTTTACCCTTGTAGATAGCAAAGAATCTGCAGAAAGAGAAATGAGCATATTTTTTCCAGAATTCAATATTAGTGATTGGTTTGTTTCTGAAGAGCAGTTTTTTGTAAATGGAGAAATTAAATTCCAAGAAGACAAATTTATACATGTAATACAGCATACTTAATTATTTCACTGCATTTATTTTGCATTTAATAGCACTAATAATAAAGGTTTATTTTGCATTAATTTAGTTTATTTTCACTCATATAATACAAGTCAGTCGTTTATTCTTACATTAAATTAGAATAAAGTTATAAAATGTGTTGCGATGCAGTGTAGGGTAAGTACCTTTTGAGTTCCACTTTGGTTATTATTAAAAAGTGTTATTCACATTAGTTGCTACAATCTGATTTGTGAGAAATTAATTGAATTAAAAACCTATTCTTCAATAAATGTTATAGAAGCTCGTAATATTACAAAAAAAAACAATTAAAAGAAAGTTGCTTACAGTTTTAAATACGGTTAAACAATTCATTAAAAAAAGTACAAAATAAATACAAAGAAAACGTCTGTAAATTTCGGTACTTTATTCCTTATAACTTTTAATTCTTCGATGCTCCCATTTCATTTTATTTTAATTTTTATTAGATAAAAGTTCGTTTTGGTTTCTCTTTTCACAACATACGCGCAATAAACAGGTCGTCCCATCTAAATTCCTCAATTTCGTTTTATCAATAAATCGAACGCTCTTGTCTGCCAAATTCAGTTGCAACAAAAAAGTTCATGTACTACATCACAATAGAAGCCTTTTTACACCACAGTCGACACAAAATTTGGCAGAATCGATGGGATACTTGCTACCACATTCGTGGCAAAACTTGGGTACCTTTTGCTGTTGATGTTGGACGCCGATAGGATGGGGATGGGACGGGGATGTGGACGACGTATCTGTACCACTGGAACTAGTACTCTCTGTGTTCATTTTTTGGCAATCCAATGGTGTTAATTTTGTTGAACGAGCACGAATTTTAGATGGCTTTCTGTTAAGACTAAAGTAAAACACTTAAGAGACATAACTAACATACATTTTAAATATAAGGTAGGATATTGTGGTAAAGACGTGAATAAAAAATTGTCTGCTGAAGACAAAAGTAAAGTACATAATTAATATCCATTAAAAATTGAGACTGTGGAAAAGGCATAAATGAGCTAAGAAGCACCCTAATTATCACTAAAACTACGGATACGTGTTGCCCCCACTTCTAATGCGGTTAATAATGCTCTCATTAAAAATGAGCAAAATGCGCGCCTGCAGTGAAAAGTTTTAATGTAAATTAAGGAGAGTCCCTTTTAGTTATGTTTAAATTTTTACCTGCTGAAAGCAGTCTCAACTATTCTTTTGGGAAAGGAAATAGAGATTTTGGACGGGGAATAAATAATCTGGAAGTGGCTCCCTAATTACTACTCTTTATAATGCGAATTCGCATTAATAATGCCCTTATTAGAAGTGAACGAAACACGCGACTAGAACTTGAGACTTACCATAATTACAACTATACCTTTAACTACGAACACGTGTTCGCAGTGAAATGTTTTTTGTAAATTAGGGCAAATTCATTTTAGTTATGTTTATATGTTCATCTGCCCTAAGCAGTCGTTCGGGAAAGAAAACTGAGAGTTAACTAATAAATAAAGTAAAAGACTGTGGACTTACGTTAATAATGCCCTTATTAGGTCCCGTGTTGACGCATTAGATATGGGCAAAACACGTGTCTACAGTGAAATGTTTTAGTGGTAATTAGGGTGAGCCTCCTTTACAATTAGTTAAGTTTATATGTTTGTCTGTTCTAAGTGGTCACCACTATACCTTTGATGGGAAAGAAAATGAAGTCTTTGGTAAACATACAAATAAATTAAAGGAGATTTACTCTAATTAGTGTTAAACCCTTCACTAGGGACACGTGTTGCGCCCATTTCTAATGCGGTTAATAATGCCCATATTAGGTCCCGCGTTGACGTATTAGGTGGGGGCGAAACACGTGTCTGTAGTGTTTTAGTGGTAATTAGGGTGAGTGTCGTCTAGTTCATTTTTTCTTAATGATTTGATAAGGTTTCCTTTGGTGCAAGAGTATTAAAACAGTTTTGTTTACCTGCTGTACGCAGAGTCGCCACTATTCTTTTGGGAAAGTTGAATATCGTCTTTTCCGGGACTGTACAGGTCGTCGCTAACGTCACTGGTTTGTTGCATCTTCTGCTGTTTCTCTTTTAAGTACATTTCCTCGTATTTTTTGTATTCTTCATACAGCTCGTCATCAACTGCGAAAAGATCATCTGCCGTTGCTTTGAAGGTGCTGACTTTAATAGACTCCTGTTCATGACGTTTTATCTATTTTATAATAAATGCATGTTACAAATTTTGTCATACTAAAAGATGAATATGAAAGTTTTTCCAATTTGAATTTGTTCAATTTTCTGATAAACTTAATTCAGGAGGTCCATTCCACACGATCCCAGAAGAGAATAATATATTTTTTTCTTACTTACCTCCTTACTAGCAATTTGTTGATGTCCAGGACTTTTCCGATCTGGACTTCTCCTGTCTTGTTTGCAGTGGATTAGTTCTTTGGGTTTCTGTGGCCTTGATTTGATAGCTGGTTCTAACAAGGATAGGGACCTTTTTAAATAGGAAGAGGAAGGATTATTTTTCTTTTTTACAGATACAATTGGAGGCGTTGCGTACGAATTTACCGATATCGACTGTTTTAATGTTTTTTGTGGAAGCCGAGTGGTTTTGGACTGATTTTTATCAGCTTTAAAGGACGGGCTGTTTTTGACTATTTTATTTGTAACTGTTGGTTTTTCTAAAGAGGGTAGCATATTTGTTTTGGTGTTTCGATTAGGAAGTTTGGGTTCGGCAACTGATTCAATCTTTTTGTCGCATTGGACACTAAAATAATCGGTATTGTTGTTGTTCTTATTCCGTACGTCATCAATTGTAAATATTGGATCTCCTTCCGGAGATGAGTCGAACGCCAAATTGGAAGGGATTATTAAATTGTCGTTTTCGTTAATCAATTTTGGATCAATATTGCAAATGTCGTCCCCGAAATTACACTTGTTAATCATATTATTGATAATGTATTTATTATCGGTCATATTTCTTTGTTGGTGAAGAAAAAAACTGTCGATTTTCTCTTTCTCTTTGTTCTCCGGAAAATTTTCTTTTATAAAGTTTTCAATTAGATCAAACTCCTCGTTTAACTGACTAAGTTTGTCCTGAAAGAGGAACGGGGGATCTATTACCGATGAGCGTTTACCATTTTCTATTATTAGTTTTTCATCGGACTTGTACTGTTTATTGAATGTCAAGGGAGAAGCATTGGGAAGAAGGGGAGTTTTGGTTATGCCGTTTGTGGTATGAGGGCGGTTATTAGTTGTATTAAGTAGGGTTGAATTGGACGTGGGGGGAATAAAATCGTCACCCTCCAATAGTTCCTCCAACTGGCGCTTTGCGGATAAAAAGGGATCGTAACCGAGCTCGGCGCAACTAAAAAAATTGTAGTTTAAGACTTTAAAAATATTGTTAATGATGCTGATATTGTCTACTTAAAGTTAGTATTAAAAATTGATACCTAACTATCCATTCAACCACACAAAACTAATGAAATTCAAGTAACCCCTGCATTGGATTGGAAAATACCAAAGGTTAGTAAGCATTTTGTTTTAATACATCAACTACTGTTTTAGGCAAATGAAACGGACTGATTTACGATTAATTTTGGATTAATTGCATGTCCTTTCTTTTAGGAACCTTAGGGGTTGAAATAACGTTGACTGTGGTATCACGTTCATATTTTTCAGACTTATTAAATAATGCTGTTTTTAATACCATTTCTTTTAAAAAAAATGACACAAAATTTAAACAATGGCATGATATACTGATAACTCAGGTCATCAAGTATAATAGGATTCATAAAAAAGATTTTCATTAAACTTCAAAAACTCACAATAATTATTTCGGCAAACTTTGCTTCGTCAAGATTGTGAATGTCTACCATGTAATACTGATTCCACTTTAATCATTTACAGCAACATCATATAAATATTTAGAAACTTGATATTATATTAAATAATTAATCAGATGTCAATAATTCACTAATGGTTAACATATTTTAATAAAAAGTTTCGTTCTATTTATTACAATTGTTGTTAAGGATTTAACACAATAGCTTAATCAGTACGAAAATGCTGTACCATCTGACGAAGGAAGTTTGGCAAAACGATTACAATGAGTATTTTGTATTGTACCAAATCAAATAAAGTTTAGTGATAATCTTTAGGTTGTTTTTAGTTTTGATATTTATGTATTATGGATTATCACCAAGTAAGAGTCAAGTTGATTCACTATGGAAAATACTTCGTTGTTAGGAGAATTTTTCGTAGTGGTCGTCTGCTGCGATTTAGATAGAGTAGCCCGATCCTACTTTTTTTTATTAAAATTTCTTAACAACAAATTTGTTCTTGTTTCTTTTAATATTTTGTATATTAACACAGTATAACCTGTTATCACATCGCGCTTTTTCCTTGCTGCTTTTATTAGAACTTTGGTAATCCTGGTTTTTAGAATCAATCGGTGGCAAGGAAACAGGGGTCGTTTCTTTCGGTTTCGCGGCAGATTTTCTGGCAGCTTTAACATTTATGATAGGCAAATAGAAATCATCTTTAGGACTATCGCCAGTGTTAGTTATCAGAGATGACTCCATTTTGGTGTTGGTTTCGTTCAAGCGTTTCGGCGATGATACGATTATCTCATCGTGTTTGCAAAGATTACCACCAGTTACGTTAAAAAAACACAGAAGACATGTTTCATTAACTTTATTGGAACCATCTTCGAGTGCGTTTGTTAATTTTTTATCACCAGCTTGCCTGTAATTATTGTTAAAATACAGAAACGACGGAAAGAAATTTCTCGAATGACTCACCATCCTGCAGTCTGGTAATTTGAAAATTTTGTATTAATTTGGATTGGAACTTGAAAATCAGTATATTTTTCAGGTACATACAATCCGAGTTCTGAAGAATCACCTCTTTTTGTTCTGTCGTTTGCTAAATTTGCAATTGTAATAATCGATTTTGTTTTCTTTTTCTTCCTTCTCTTTTTACTCCTCACACTACATTGTGACATACCCTTTCCCATTTTGCTTCTTTTACCTTTATCGTTTTTGCAAAAGCATCTCACAATCTTCTTGGCCATGCTCGTGATTCCCTTCTTGAAACTCATCTTTTGTCTCTTCTTTGGTATTACCTCCTGACTGGAAGCCGGAGATACTTTTTGCTTTGGCACGCAAGAAGCCAAAAAATCGTCAGCAGCTATGCGGATAATTTGCGAATGCGTCAAGGAACACATTTCGTCAACCGAAGTACTATCAGACGTGACTGTAGTGACGGGGAATTCAACTTCGTCTTCAGTTCTGTCTTCTACAGTTTTCCTTGGAGAAATTGCCCTACTTAATCCCTCCAATCCCTTGTTCGCATACAAATTAAATGTTTTTAAAACGCATACGTCACTGCAACATTTTCGTACTGATTCCTTTAGCCTGGCTGAACTTAAAGCGTTCACCCAAACGCTACTGCTATCGCCATCTAAACTTTCCAAATCGTCGAAACCCGTTTCTGCCTCTTTGAAAACTTTTACTGTATTACCATTATCTTTATTCCCGTCTCCAATTATTAAATCGTCTGACTCTTGTTCAACCTCCTTTTTAAAAACGGTTGATTTTACCGTATTCCAACTGCTGGCATTGCTTAACGTCATTATGGAACCCCCTGACTCTGAAATCTTACATTCTTGATTGGAACAAAGTTTCGACGGTGTTGGTGAGGTTTTTTCTAAATTTGAACTACTGAGCGATTGTAAAAACGCATTCAGTGGAGACGCTTCCTGAACTGACGAAGTCTGTCGCTTAGCTGCAGAATTGATACGTTTCGATTGTCTTATCTTTGAGCTGGATTTCTTAAAATGGTCGGCATTGTCAGTAGCATGTGCTGGAGCAAACTTTAAGCATTCCAATGACACTTGGGGGCTACAATTAACAATTTCGTTTGTATACGTAGAATTGGATTGCCTAATATCGTTTTTCTGATTAATCTCCGATTTCAATACGTTTAGATCTTTCTTGTGCATGATATTATTAGTATCGCTTTCTTCTACAGGAAATAAAGAAGTGTGAAAATTTGAAAGTATGAGAAAAGATGAAAATTACCTGTCGATTTGGCAGTCTCATATCTTCTTTCCTGGTATATAATTGTTTGTTGTGGTATGTCTATTTCTTCGACTAGTTGCGATTTATTTTCTACCACGAAGATTTTTAAGTTACGACTTGTTTGAAATTCTTTCTTTCGGTTAATTAAATTAATGAGTTCACTGCCCACAATTGCTTGTATGGACGATTCAGAGGAAGATCTAATTAGTGTTAGGGGCCGATGTTCGCACAGGGACGACTCCGATAATGCACGAAGAAAGGACTCCCCGCAATTGTGAATGCTTCTATGACCTTCGCCTTTAAAATATTTCTCAAGTTGTCCATTTTTCTTCTTAATTTTTCGGGAGAAAGTTGACTTTTCTAATACGGGTATTTTGGATGTTTTAGAAGATTTCTCTTGGATTGATTTAGGAGCTTTTTGGATGTTTTTATCCAACACCCTGTCTGCACTGATGGCGCCTATAGCTGCAAAAGTAGTAGTGCAGAGATCTACTGTTTGGTCATTCTGCTCAGGGTTATTTGTGGTTACTAAATCGATTCTGTGTTGAGCAAGTTCTAACGTATTTTGTGTAAATTTTGACACCGACATCGAATTATTTATCATATTTAAAGTGCTGCCCGCATCTTTACATTCATCTTGAGTGGGCTTCTTATCAACAAGTCCCAATAAATCCTTGTTTGGATCTTCTCTGGAACATTCTTTAGGCATCTCGCTGACATTAGAATCAGAAATTGCAAACATTTCTATAATTTCTTCGGTAATATCATTAGTCGTTTTGAACGAAAAATTGCCTTCGGTTTTTATAATTTTATTTTTTTTATTTAAATCTGCACCAGTGGCAACATTTATAATTTCATTAACAATATTAGATGGAAGTAGTTGAGAGTGTGTATTTTCCACTGTACATGATGATATTTGTTCAATACTTGAATATTCAATACTGTTTTGATTTTGGTTAGGTGTCTGTTCATAAGATTTTTGGATTGTCCCCATTACAAGACCTGCTTCTTTTTTGTTTAGGTTAACTGTTTTTGATTCTGTTGCTGTTGGAGTTTCATCTCTTTTTTGTGGTACATTTCTGGACCCGCTAGATTGCCATTTCTCTAATGTAACCGATTTCAAGTTAAAAGTTTCTTTTGAATTGTAAGATGCTTGGGTTTCAATTGAAGCTGAGGAATCGTTACTTTCAAGTTTACGTTTGTGTTTAGGTTTGAGAATCTTTCGACTGTTGCTATCGCTCTCTTGAATATGGTCATCAAGCTTCACACTTGCTGAAGGATCAGAGTTTTTCTCCGTCAATGGCGTTTGTTGAGAACATTCTGGATCACTTTTCGAATGAGCTCCATCCGAAATTAAGCAGTGGTATTGCTGACTTACATCCGGTTTGCCACAACGTAATACATTCACAGATTGTAATTTTGTATAATTCTTTAGGATACTCGTTTCTGTTGTTTTTTTCGACTGTTCATCAACGGAACCAAAACCTGAATCGTAATTGTAAGCTTTATGAGCAGATTCCTTCGTATCAAAAATTGATGGATCTGATGAGTCGAAATTGAGACATTCTCTGGAATCTACACTTGTGTAATCTCCATTTTTGGTAGTTTTATTGGAAGAATTGCAAATGGAATCCCCGCTGGAGATCGCAAACTGCTCTGTCGTATTTTTTGAATTTCTATTTTCAATATATAGAATCCACCCGTCGGGTGATGTGGAAACCGGGTTTTCACTAATAGTTTTATTCGTGGAAAAGTGATAGTCAGAAGGAACGTACGCTTTTGAACTTTCATGTCTTTCCATTCTACTGATTGTATGCGACGACGAATTGCAAATTTCATAATCGATAGTTTTTATTTCTTTTTCGGAAGTTGTGTTAATACTAGATGAGAAATCTTCTTTTTCTATCATTTGAACACCAGAACATAAACCGTGCATAAAACTTTGAGAAGGCCTATGTTGGTAATTAAAAATATCTTCTTGCGATTGGACATTTCTCCTTAAATCTATACTGTTCTTTTTTAAACGTTCTCTTAGATGTTTCAAGTTTTTGTTTTTTGTGAATGTTTTTGAAACATCACCTCGAATCATACGATGCTCGAAGCAGCGAGGTTCGTTGTGTCTGGTTTTCGAACCAAAAATTCGTTTCCGGAAATGGCAGATCATTGCTGATACGTCGTCTCGACGAGAAGCGTCATCGTCATTACAGAAAAATTCTTCCTCCTTTCCTTGAAACGACCTGGGTTGTTTTAATAGGTTATTAGATTGTTTCCACAAATATTCCGATGGCTGGCAGATGTCACTGTTAGTATTATCTTTGCGTTTTCCCAAAACCGTTTCAGAAGCGTCATTCGTATCTCTATCCATTTGCAGTTGATATAACACATGGTCATCTTTCTTTCTCTCTGTATAAATTTTCTTGTTTTGAAACGATTCCTTTGATTCAGATTTTAGTAAATCCTTAGAGTCGAATTTATTAAATGAATCTTTTATTTCAACTTTATCAATAGACGTAATATTTCGTGTCACTAAATTGTTTTCACAAGTATCCTGTGATATAATCGTATCTGTAGAATCCGTCAATAACTGACTACTTTCACTAGATGGTATCGGTAGTTGATTGCAACTGTTCTCGACCAATTCGACTAAATTTTTTGAAAAGGCCAGTATCTCGTCAGATGACTTCAAGCTTGTGTATTTAAACGAGTTTTCGAACTTTGGACTTGTGGGATACGAGTCACCTTCGTAAGTATAATTGTGAAAACCGATATCGGAATTGATGTTTTCTAAACTATCGAAGTCTTCACTGACGCAATTAAGGTTTCCGGACGTCTTCGTAACGATTGGACTGCTGACTCTTGAAGATGTCTTAATATCAACAATACTATCCTCACTATTAACTTCTCTTAACTTGATTTTGATCAAATCTGTTTTATTAGTTGACTCGTACTCTATCTGTAACGTTTTGTTTTCTTCTGCAGAAGTCTCTTTAATGTCCAGGTTATCGCAAGGAATCTTCTTTTTAATTTTAGACTTTAAATTACGATTACAATTTTCGTCATAACTAGCTGATATTTGATTATCATTTTCTTTGGTTATCTCCTCAACTATGGACTTTGGAAGATTTGCGTAAATGTTATCATGTTTCGTGAATTTGGCGTTCGTCGTATTTCGACTTTTGAAAGTTTTCAAAGTTTTGATTTGTTTTTTCCCGGAGTAATCACTACGAGCCGACAAATCGCCACTTTGCTTACTGTTGACTGATCCTGTTTCGACAACGTCAGCGTTTGTAAGAAGTGATCCTTTATTGTGATCATTTTTGGTGTCAATAATTCCAATATCGACTAATGTCTTGACGGGTTGTGCACCGCTTCTTCCGGAAGCACAAGAAGAATCGTTGTTACGGAACGTATTTATATAAAATCTGTCGTTGTCCACATCTATTTTTAATTTATCTTCATTTTTATAATCGCGGTCTTTACTACGCAAATTCTTTTCAGAAATGACTCGTTCGACGTATTTGCTACCGCCAAACACTTTAAATTTAGGTGAGCGTCCAATGGCGGTTTCTTGACTCCTGTGGCGCCCTAAACTGTCATCTCTAGCGGTGTAGGAAATGCTCAAAGGACTCGGTGAATTCAATTCCTCCACTGACGAAAAGCAAACGTTTGAAAGAGACATTGGAACTGGAAGCCTATTTGATGTTGATGCTGATAATCCATGCAAGGACATTTCGGATTCGTGTAATTTCATCTTCAGATCACAATGGGGTGACTTTTCAATTGGATGTCGTTTCCGTTGCTCCTCCACCCACGTGGTTAAACGACCTGGTGATTTTACGACTTCCTCGTCTGCCGTTATTTGTGTTACTGACATTCCAAGCACGCCACTGTTCACCGAGATGCTATCAACTTTCCCGCTTCCCCGCATCGTCGATGGTTTCGGTTTAGAACTGGGGAAAAAAGGAAAGAGAGTTGAATGGATAAGGGATATTAGGATATACCTAGGTACGTTTGGTTAAGGAGAAGGGAAAGAAAAATCTACTACCACATTGGGAACGGATTTCAAAGGGTATTATTATGTCTAATAAAAAGGATAATCCATATAAATATATCTCTTTCCTTCCTCCCCAAATCTTACCCAATTTTTATTTTTTATTATATAAGGAATTTTAAGAATTAAGGTTGCAGCAAACCATATTAAATTAACCCTTTATTAAGATACTTTGATTTTATTTGATGATGAATTCAATACATCAGTCAATTAATTTTACCCTCTACAAATAACCTCAAATTAATGAGGAAGAATTGTTGCTACCGTCACTCCCTTGCTGGGAATCCAACCTGGACCCCTTTATTATTATTATTAATGAGAGACTTTGAATTTTTGTAGTGTTAGTTTAATGTATTAGTGAATTGATTTTACCCACTGCAGATAACCTCAAATTAATGGGGAACAACTGTTACCACTGTCACTCCCTTGCCGGGAATCCAACCTGGACCCCTTTATTATTATTATTAATCAGATACTTTGAATTTTTGTAGTGTTAATTTAATGTGTTAGCGAATTAATTTTACCCACTACGGATAACCTCATTTTTCGTGGAATATCCCTACTGTTTGTATCATAAAGTTATCATTAGAGGCTTACCTCTTAATAAGGTCCTCAACGGAACCTTTTCTGGGCTCCTTCTTCTGTGGTACTGGTTTATTATCCCTGATTGAGTCGCCACGTGTTAAGTGTCTGCCCGCTGTGGCCTTTCGATTCAGTTCATTTTGCCTTTCGTCCTTGCTCTTCGTCCTCGGGCTGGTTTCAAAGTTGTTTGAACTGGCACTTTTCAAATTTGACTAGAATTTGACGTTTTCGTTGTCACATAGGAAATTTATTGTTACCAAAAATGGAACAAATCGGCATTTGACAAATTTCTAAATTAGATAATACCATTTGACAAATGACAATTTACTTATTTAATGAGACATTGGAATTTTGATTTTAGTTTCATGCTAATGCATACAACACATACTTTCAACAATTTTTTTAGTCATTGTGAAGTCCATTTTCATTGCAGATATCCAATTTGTCGAACAAGATGTGATAAATAATAGGTCAACAAAGTTGGGTGTCAAAATAAAACAAAAAAAAAAACAGTAGGGTAGGTAGCCATTTGCGACACAATTTGCGTTGATGAGTCCGAATCTAATATCAGAACCGCTTCTTGATCTTGATATGGATCATAAATATTTCAACCTAAATCCGCTGATTTGGCTTGTTTTGTTTCGAGCTTAGGATAAGTCAAAATTCAAAGTGTGGACAATTTATTGTGAGATCAGATGCAAATTTTCCGCTAAAAATATTATCGAAAAACATTATCGTAGGCTAGTAGAACTCTGAAGCTCTAGGCATCAAGTTTTACGGCAGGTTCAAAAGAAAAAACGGAAAGGAGGGCAATCATTTTCGGTGTATATTTTAACGGAAAACTTAAATCTTACTCCAAAATTCTGGATCCTTAATCACAAAATCATACAAGCAAAATAAGCATCATTCCGATTTTGAGTAGTGATGAGCACAGCAAGATAAAGACCAAGAGTGTCCCAGTCTTGATATTGATATTGGTCCTCAAATGCATAAATTGACCCTTCCCCAATGCATAAATTGACCTTTCAGCGAAGAAGTACAAGTTACTTGAAAGAAGTAAAAAATAAAAAAAAAATTGTCTCTATATTTCAACCATGTGTTATCCAGACATGGGAACAAAGAACTCTTACTCCAAGGACATTATTGTAGTCTTGGTCTTATTCATTTGCTCTTGTTTTAGTCCTAGTCTCGTTCGTTCTATTTTGGTTTTAGTCTTAGTCCTGTTCATTAGGTCTTAGTCTTGATCTCACTAGTATAAATAAAGACATTCTACAAGATCAAGACTAATTTGGCTTATCACTAGTTTTGACGTTAAGATTTTTTCTGGTTGTTTTCTTTCACGCGGTAATGCTCTGAAAGAAGCTAATGATTACACTTTATGGATATTGGAATTAAGATTTCAGGAAATCCTAACGCGTTGAGGTCAGATTCGGACTCAGGATCTCAAACTTCGACGGGAAATGACATATGTGATTACTTTAGTTTCCCGATCCATTCAAGTGATTTTATTTTCCAATTCGAACATGTTACTTACTTGGTGTGGCGAATCTTTTTTGCTCGCATATTTTTCCTTGATCGTTTGCCTTTTGGATTTGTTCAAAGGTGGTACTCGATATTTTGTTCGGGCTTCAAGTCTTTCTTTTGCGACAAGGACATTGGCAGGAGACTTCTGGATACGCGACTTATGCTCTCTACACCACTCGACGTGCCTATCGTAGGCCTTCGGTCCAAAAGCTCTGTCACAGGTTGGACATTTTTCATTCGAACTATTGGTAGTCGTGGAGGTCGTAGTGCGTTTGTCGCCCGACATTTCGGTGGAAGGAACGGCAGCACCTTACGATTTAAATTTTTAAATCTTAATGATTCAGCTTTATCTGTTATTATAAATAAAGTAACTAAAACTGCGAAATTCAAGATACTAAGTTTGCTCAGCGCCAAGCTGTTTATTACCGCTAGTGATTACACCAAATGTATTCATCCTAAACTTCACAGTTAATGATCCCCACGGAAACTATTTGCTATTGTTGTTCGTGTATTTACTGGACAAACTATGTATACTATAAGTACAGTAAAAGTTCCTTAGTCACGGTTTCCTTATTCGCGGTTAAAAATTTCATTATTCGCGGATGCAATCGGTAAACAGAAAAGGATTCGGTGTCATTTATTAAGGGGATTGACCGCAATAGACCGCTCGTGCCTAATGTGAATTTTTCCGAAAACATGTGTTTCTATTCTAAACATTGTCATTTAACGCTGCGAGATAAATATCTATTTTTTTGTATGGTAACAGACAAAGGTTCACACTAACTCGGTACGTTTTTGGTTTTCAATAATATGGTCATTAAAAGCTTTTACAAGTGCTTAAAGTTGATGCTTCTTGTAGCACACGTATTTTCAATAGAAATAAAAAATTTAAAAATGGCCTTCGACAAGCTTTAGAACAAAGCTTTATCTATCTTACTACAAAATTTCAAACTTCTGTTCCAAATATTAAACTCATGATATCTAGAACAGATAAGCACGGCGCATACTAAGGATCGGAACTGATGATATCAAAAAAATACTAAAATGTAAAAATGTATTAGTTTTCTATCTCTCACAAAACATAAAAATGGTATTATTAAAGGACCTTGTGCTTTTACCCAAAAGCGAAATAAAAAAGTTACTTAAGTATTATATGTGACAGAATTATTACCTCACAGACGAAGCGGTCTATTTATATTTTCCATAAATTCGTTGCACAATAAGTGCACTGTTACTAGACGAAACTTTAAAGAACTTGAAAATACTTACAATACATTTTTGTTTCAAAAACGTACAAAGTCACATTTGTCTTTCATATTCCAACTAAACGCATAACTAATAACGTTAACTACGTATTTTGGCTTAATTGACTATAATTACCGACAAAGTTTATTAAAAATTTTATAGGTACAATGGAAATAATATTTTTTAACGTAATTAGTTGACATAGACAATATTACGTTATAAAGCAAAACAGTTTAAATAAGTTGTGCAAATATTTGAACGAGAAAATCGTATGCTGCTATTACACTTGCGTCGAACAAAGATAAAATTAGGAATAATTCACCTTGGCACAGTTTGTTTATAAAGAGGAATTCCTTTTTGAGAGTTTTTTTTCCAGCATTTTACGAAACCATTGCAGATATTATTAATACCATTATAAAAGAATAAAAGTTAATACTATTAATATTACATCTTACTAATATTAAATGCTACCAGCAGATGCACCCGTACGAATATATACAGTATTTAGTAAAACTCTAGATGAAATATCTATAGATAGATATAAAATATAAGTAGTCATTCTTTCTAGATGTGTATTTTAGAGAAAAAATATAGATCTACCAGGATGTTCGTCATTATATGTCATATTCATTTTATGCCCCAAAACTAAAAATATCCACTAATGCAGCGGTTCCCAATTTTTATTTTCTACGAAACCCTTAATGACTCACCCCTTTTTGGCGGAACCCCATCTCGATAATTTAGTAAACTGATAAGAGTTTTATGTCTAACAATCTGTAAGTCGATATAAATCGAAACAGAAACTGTGGCAACTTTCTCAATGACTGTAGAGTATTAATCTTTAATCGTAAGTTCAATCCAAAGATCATTCAAATTTGAATCATTCGATTCGACTTTTTGTTTTAGAGAGGATGAATTCTTAATAAGTATCAATCAAATTCTCATTTGGAAGAAGATAAACATTCGCAACTGTTTTGTTCAGTACATTCAATCCAGAAGCCAAATTTATTTTTTATTGTTACAGAAGATATTTTGTCTCTCACCATAAACTTAGTTGTGGTTATTCGCTTTAAGAACCTGCTGTTTACGTTGAGTTTATCGAATATAACATTGTTATTATCGTTATTGTCATTTTTGTGGCTGTCTTCCCTATTATTCCTGTTATACTGTATTGTAAATAGTTTCTTCATTTTCTCCTGTGCTCATCAAAGTCTTGAAACGAATTCTGTGTTTCTTTTCAACGTAAGACTTAAAATCCGAATGTCCTATCCCCTCATCTGACAACTAGGTATCTTTCTTTAAGAAAAAATAGCATCTAACTCGTCCGTATCATAAAATGAACGGTTAGGGTTTGACCTTTTATTACTGGATTGGTCATGAATTGTTACACTTAATTACAGAATGGTTGCTTTTCCCAAAATTTTGTATATTTTTATTAGGACAAAAACGCCGTACCTCCTGGAACCCCAGGGTTCCACGGAACACCATTTGGGAACCGCTGCACTAATGCTTAGTTTTTTGCAAAACATGAACACATTGGGGTGATATTCCTATACTAATGGCAAAAAGATCTTTTTTACACAAAATCCCAACTCCAATTTCTTCACTTATTATTATTTATTACCTCTGGCCTCTCGTATAATCTTGACGAGTTCCAAGTGCTTCTCCTTCCACTTGGACTTCCTTTGCGGCGGTGGTTGTTTGACGTCCAGTTGTTCGGAGCCACTGCTACCACTTGTCTTCTTCAGATAGGACTTCTGATGAAAGACAGCGAGTTCGGTGCCTTCGACACGCTGCTTCTGGGAATTAAAGATCTTTCTTTTGCGCGTAGCGTTCCTCTCGCATATTCGCTCATGCTTCTTCAAGGGTTCGGGCAGAAAAGTACGGCCACATATGCTACAAGGTACTAGGTGCCCTTGCACCTCCACTACCCCTTAACAAGAATAAAATAAATATAAGTAACACTGCAGTATAATCAGATACTGAAATATTAGTGTCTACAATCCGTTTGAAAGTGATACTCCAGTTATACTCATAAATAAAATTCAAAACAAGGATGTGGCCAGTAGATACGATTCAATATTCTAGAATTATTTTAAAACTTGTACCTACACCGTTTCTTTATTTGATATTTTACTGTTTTGTTAATTTTTTTTTCTTATTACGGAACTGTTTTATCTGAATTTTTAACGTTGAAGATTTTCATATATATTTATTTATATATTTCACTATTTTTTATCATACAATTTCAAAGTTAATGCTTTGATTTTGAAACTATTATTAAAGCGTTCTTTCGTGTCTCTGTGTGTCCCAACTTGAAGCATTTTAACTTTGTCCTATACAAAAATTGTTTTACATTTCTCTGTCGGAATTTCTTTTACTTTAAAAATATGCAAAATGGTGCTCTTCTTGGTTAATTTTTAAATAAAATTTTGTAGTTAGCAAGTACTTATAATTACCACTTACTAAATAATTTTATACATTTACACGAAAAATTTTTTTATTGAGTATCACTTTTAACAGAGAAGAATTTGTAGTTACTACATGGGTATAGCAATACAGTCCTTCCAAGTAAAAAAGAAATAGCGATAAGTTAATTCCATGCAAATACCTTTACCTCAGACTCTTATACAGGTAGAAATTTTATTATATTATTAGTAAATAGTTAACAAAAAGGAATTCTAAGGGAGCAGGCTTTTTAGTTGAAGATGTCTATTTTCACTGAAAATATTAAGCTGAAACTGCACGAATATAATTATAACAAAGAAGTCATTTCTGTGCTCACAAAGGGTTAATTTAGAAATTCAAAAAAGATTGTTAAAAGTGTATCTCTGGAGCGCAGTGCTGTACGGGTGCGAAACACGGACGATGGGCGTGATGTAGTGTTACAGGCGAATGATGAGAATACCGTGGATAGAGAGGTTAGAAATGAGGAGATATTAGAAAGAATAGGAGAACAGAAATCGCTATGGAAGTCAATAGGCGAGATAGTTTGGTAGGACACCTTCTTAGGCATCAAGGGCTAGTTATAAACATAGAAGCAGAAACAGGAGTTAGGAGGAGTAGAGGATCTAGAGTGGATTACTGTTCTCAAATAGTTAAGGATGTGAGATGTTCTAGTTTAAGGGAAATGCAAAGGACTGACGACCTTATGATGATTATATTATTATTACATCAACAATCACGTCCCTTGGATATCAGCTCCTTCCTCACCCCTATATGGAATAGGTTTTACCAGACCTTCAGATCTTTCCACCCTTACAAAGACATATGGTTTATTAACAGCTGTATCCTTAATTACCTAACTGTATTAGAAAATGCCACATTTTTTAGATGTCGGCGATTTGGGAAACAATATACATATATTAAATAATGCGTTATTCAAAAATATTCTTCAGACTAAATTTGGAATCGGTCGAAGGAATAATAAGAAGGTGCCCATGTTTCCGTATTTTTTTTAATCTTCACACCCGTACAAAAAAGGCTGACCGCAAATGCAAAATTTTAAATCAGTTTTATTGTTGTTATGCTAATGGTTTGTTACACGTTTTTTTTTTGTATGTTGTTCGGTTGACATAATTTTCATAGATTTCAAGGTGAACGTGATGGAGGCGTCAAAAAAGACGCCTATATGTATGAGCAAACACCATTTGAGATATACTTGATTATAAAGCAAGTAAACACATATTAAATGTACAGTAATCGATCATGTGCCTTTTTTTCCAAAATGTTTCAGTTTCTAATGGAAATTAGCGCAGTAGTTTCTTGACATTTGCTCTATTTATCGCTGTTTCTTTTTTTGTTGCTGTTTGCGATTCTAAATTTAAGAGTTCGAACTTATTTCCTTGTCGTGTTTAAAACTAACTAATTGAAGTGCATACATTTCGTTTTCTTTGTACAGAGGGAGGATCTATTTTGTTGTAACTTTGCATCTACATTTTGTAAAAATAGTATTTTTATTAATAGTCATTTACACGTTTTATCTTCTCTTTTAAAACAACAAAAGACATAGAGAGGTTGTAATGCATATGCCTCATTAAATCTATTTTTAGCATGGTGAGAACTAATTATTGACAGTCGAGTTTTTGTGACTCGAATTTTAACTTGAATATTCTTCTGTCCTCTTGAGATACATATTGTTTTACATTTATTTCAAACTTAATAACTCGAATTTCTTCGTTTATCTAACTCAAGATTCTGGAAAACTCAGTTGAATTTTCTAGTGAAACTACTAAATTTTCGGTGCGGTACCTATTCAGTATTACTTTAAAAAGCGGTTGGTTTAGGTAGGAAAAGACAGCACGAATGGAGTAGTTACATTGTCTGACATATGATGTGTGATTGTAAGGGTTATTGGAGATAGAATTAGACAGAAGTACATATACATACATAGAAACAATTTCTTCAAAACAATTATTAAATATAGTTCGATGGCAAAGCAGAAATTTTACTTAAATCGATTTTTCTCTAACTTGAACAAAAGTGGTTTCATTTAGAAGGTTGGAGTGATTGACAAAAATATTCTAAATAATTAAATAAAACACCATTTAAGAAAAGGATATTCTATCAGGAAGGGCGACAGAAATCACTGGCGAGCTGGATTTCCGGATTGTAACTTCGTTTAATTGATGAAATCCGTATGGCGGCTGACATCTTCAGTCTTATCAGTTCAGCACCAGCGTTGGAAAATTTGCATCGACATCGTAAAATTCCTGAAAATGTCACTTGTGATAGGAGAAGAAACGCCGAACACCTCTAATCCGTAATATAATCCGTCTTGGGGGTTTCATCAATAAGACGCTGTTAGAATCCGGAAATCTAGTTTCTTCATATGTAACTTCCAGTAAAAATGACCCGTCGTGTAACTTATGATTTGTATTGATAAGTATAATAATAGCACAAATTTCTCAAAAATATAAAACACCGAAACTTAGCTACAGCTTTCTTGCATTGTTTAGAATGTCCTATC